ACATTGTTTGAAACTAGTATATGATATTCTATACGAGCTGTATATGTATAACGGTATATCCGGAAAAGAGATTTCGTATACAAAAACCTAATATTTGGATTCGAGGCGCGAATTTCTCATTTTTTAACAGAACGCGGCGTCAATTTCCGTTTTTCCGGCGGCCGATTTTCAGGCGGAAACGCGAATTTCTGGACTGGAACGTTGGCGCGCGATCTATCATCGTTCTCGTCAATCGTCCCGAAAATAGTCTCCGTCCAAAAATATCCTGTCCGTTAAGTGCATTATGACGTCGACGCCGGTAGATTAGGCCAATGGTCTCCTATTATTAGTCAATTTATCGACGTTGTTTCCTCTGCAAACAACCGAATCCCAGATGCCCGATCGATCGTCGTTTCCGCTCTCCACTCTCGGTCCTCTCTTCGTCTTCCTCAGAATCAGACCCGGCCAATAAACCGAACGCGCGCCTCTTATCTTCCTTTTTTCCTCCCATTCGTTGCCTGACTATCCGTTGAGAACAGTCGATCCCACTCGACGTTAAGCGGCGTCGCCGATATCGTTTTTAATTGCCACTGCAAACTGTCGACATTCGTTTTGGCTCGTTAGCGAAACACTGAATTCCGCATCTATTTGAATCCGGACAAACAGTTTTCTTTCACTGTGGATAATCGTGAGGAGAGAGAAAAAACAGCGTTTCAGTTTTTCAATGCGTAAAAAGTTTCGTCGCGTGGTATTCCTAAAAGAGTGTGTCATTGCAAGGCTCCTTTTTATTATACAGTGTCGTTTATCACGAAATGATGTAAGTCGAAAAATCAAAACAAGCTTCGATTTTTATTTGTGTTACGTCACACGAATTTGAAGTTTTATCTACACAATACATTTATATCACGTTTCTAATAATCGATACCTGCGTATGTAGATTGTAGATACACTCATTAATTTTGTATTAAAATTTCCTTGCTTCATTCATTCTGATCAACTGAATTAAATATAAAAACTGTAATAGTAAATTGATAGTTCTTATTTGTTCAGTTTAACAAACAGGCAGAATAGCACTTCGGCCATTATAATCATTTCTGGGAAGTTTTCTATTGTAGCTGCTACGCACAGAAAATAGGAAGTCATGGTTGCTTTCAACTTGATTGTTTCAGATTCCACGCGAAAGCTACAGGATGTCCTCACCGAATTCTGTGGATCGAATACGACGCCCAGCGGTACATCGAAATATCACCCCGACGGGGTAAGTCGAACAGAAATTCGCCCAGTTTCAGCTGCTGAGCTGAGCCAGCAGCTGTTTTATTCGCTTATTAAATCTGGCTGCTGCATCGATCCTTTAATCCGATTTCACTTTTTCGCTATCCGCCTTTATAATGTCTCTATAATCGAATGATTGCCCGGCCCCGTTATAATTGAAATAAAACATCTCCCTTCTCAATAATTTATCGATAGAATTAACGGTTCGTCGGTTCGAGAGGAAATTATCGTAAAATATTTTCCGATTTGGAAATCATTTGCAGATTATGAGAAGGAATAACGAAACGCAGTTGAAACTTGTTAATATAGTGATAAGCTTTTATTTCATTTCATTTTATTTTTCGCTTCGTGACGTACTCACGATTATCATTTCTCATTAATTCTTATCAGTTTCGGAGATCAGTAGTTAACTTGCTAGAAAATGAGTGAATCTGAATTAGAAGAATTCATTATGTTTTTGCACTTAGGGAGTGTCTCTGTTCTATTTTTTCAAATAATTCTCTATCTACGACTATTGCGACAGTGGCTATTAATTAATCTGCTTCCTTTTCTTTAAATGAATTTATGATGACTGTCACAAACCCTTCTATTTCAACTGAAATTTGTAATGAGCTGGTTGAGGATTTGTTTGTTTTGGGAAAACAACAGTTCTTTCTTTACTCGAACGAGCATAAATAAAAATTATTGGACGAGTGAACATTATAGTGTCAGCGCGAAAATGGAATCGAGTACCGGACAATCGAATAATACGTCTATGTGCGTTTAAAAGCTTTCATTCACAGTGATGAAATTGTGACTACGTTACTTTTCATTTATTTTTTAGCTCAAGCGCAATCGTCGAAAAAGTTCTCGTGCATGAGTGTACTAAATTTGTACTGACGCGCAATATACATATACATGTATGTAACGTAGCGCGTTCGTTATCCGCATTTTTCCGCGAATTCCTGCTCGTGAAATGAAACGGCAATGCATATGGGACAGATGCGACAAAATCGTCACCGCAATTTTTCCCCTGTGTATGTACACAGATACGTACATACACAAACATCTTCTATCGAACTCCACTGTACGATAATCGATTTTTTCCAGTTGGTGCATCAGCAGTTTGCTCAGTCGTTGTTCCAATGGGAGTATCGAATGGCTTATTACCGGGCGAATATGCAATTGATTACATACATTTATACATTTTCACGCTGTATTAATTTCAATTTAAAGAGATTACTGATTTAATAATTTTTTTTACTACTAATTCTTTTCAAATTACAGTAACTATTAAACGCAATAAATGTAAATGATGAAATAGAATGAAGCAATATGTACAGTGACATCCATTAATATGCGGACTCATTTCAAAACGGAATAATTTTCATTTCTTTAATAAATCGGAATCAAAACGGATTTTGACGAATAGCAATTTGTTTTAATTGTCTGTTACATATTATATAGTAAACTAAGCCTTTTAAAAGCCCACAGAAAATTAAGTTGGTTGGCTCAATATTAAAAATTTTATTCCGTTTTGAAATGTGTCTGAATATTAATGGGAGTCACTGTATGTACTATTACAAAGACGAGAGTAAAATTTTTTAACGATTAATAACGTATTTATACCATGTATATGTGTAAGTATGTGAGTTTCATCAGGTCGGAATATTAACAGAATATAAAACAACAATAAATACTTAAAAGCCACATGTCCATGGAATTCTCCGCGTAAAAAAAGTTGCGTGGTCGTATTCATATTTCATATACATACATACGTACATATACCTATTCAACGACAGCATGAACACTTTTACGAACAGCGAACAACGTCCACTCGAGAGCGGTACATCAAAGGATCGTAAACTCCCAGTGTACATATATGGATGCATTTGTGACATGATACAATCATAGATAACGAATTTCTCAATCATTTACCTCTCTTCTCTACCTCCATTGCGAATAATTATAATAAAATGTCTTAGTACTTTTTTCCTCTATACAATAGATTTTAAAGTCCAACAAAATAAGCTCTGCGAAGTAGTGAAATCATCAAATATAGTCAAGTTTTCGTTATTTTAATAAAATCATTATATGTATAGAGGATTCTTTTATTTTCTTCTGACATGACTCTTTCTGGATAGATTTTTCTGAGTTAATACAATATAGTAGTACGTATAAGAGTACGTTTCGTAGAACATTGCAGCTTTCGTCGCTTCATTGCATTGTTCGATAGGACTGGGGTAGAATGGTATTTATAGGGGAAACGAGATAGGAAGAATAGACGTATAGAGGACATCCACACACGCGAATACATCGAGGAAACACGCGTCTCATAAAATCACAAACTATTCTTGTGACCATTATAGTTGGAATACGTCTGAATCCGCGCGAACAGGTGCGAGTTATTGCGAGTTTATACTGGCCGATGTGTTGCATATACACGTGTATTACATACATAAATACCTACTGTCTTTGTATGTATTATACATACGAATCTATTATTTCGAACTGGTAATGTATTCAACTCGCGACCGCGTGTGAAAGTAATGAAATTATTTATTTAACTTCTGATAGTAGAATCGAACTGATTATTAACTGTGAACGATGTAAATGAAAAATGTACCTCGCTATTATTAATGATAAAATAGTTTCGTCCTACTAAATGTATCTATAATAACAAATTTACTTCTCGTTACTGATATGTTGTAACGTCAGTAATCCTATTTTTCTACTAGATTAGTCCATTGTTTACCGACAGGTTTGTTATCTCTTGTTACGTTTATGTACATTTTTAGAAGAAATTCGATACTGAAAGTAGGTAACTTTAGATTTCTATCATCTATACTTGAACTACTGTCATTTTACTTTTTATTACAAACAACATTGCTTGAAGTGATTTAACTCCTAACTAATACACATATCGACTGTTCTTTCGAAAGGCCTATACTGCAAATTTACGTGGAATTATTAGGAAATGAAAAAGCATCCCCGATTTAGTCTTCAGATATTTATTAAATTTATCAGAGGAAATGTTTCGTTGAACCATGATCGTTTGTTAACATAATTGATCACTTTATGATGTCGATCCTGGGCGGGATGATAAAACTATGAACACGGAGGGAAGGTTGATATCATAGTTGACAAGATTGCTGATAATGTTTCTTGGCTGATGTATTGTCGGGTTGCGCGTCATGCCACGGGCAAAACCGTGAAAGACGAGTATACATCGTCATCCGACCAGCAGGATAACGATCCTTCTTACGTCGTACTCGCTTCTCGCCGTCTTTATATTAGGTATATGTACTTTTCTTTCACGAGTACCATTTATAACGTGCACTCTACAAGTGTTTCACAACCGACTATATCACAGCACCGATATTGGCTATTTTCTCCATTCTTCCTTTTTTCTAAATTAATCCTCTTTGCCGTCGACATGTTACAAACGCTCCGGTCATATAAAAATCATATCTTTCCTGCTGAAATAATCTGTGAGGAAAAAAATTGATACCCAAAGAGGAATTCGCTGGCTGTTCCGGTAAAATACAATTTATTTCCTTTTGTTTTTATATTGTGCACACGCGCATACGGATATAAATAAAGGAGGAAATTCTTTGATTGCGCGAAATTGCTGGCCGGCTTTATCCAGGGAAGCTGGCTGAGTGAGAAAGAAGTCCGTCAGGAATAGTCAGGGTTGCCTTCGCTCTCAGAGGGAAAAACATCCGCCGCCGGAACTAAGCGATCGTCAATGTAATTCGAATCTCTTTCCTCGCAGAGAATGAATTAATTTACTACAGAAGGATTCTGGGAAGAAAAAGCAGTAGAAAACAATTTCAGGTGTTTAAAGTTTCTTCAGAACAATATAAAATTGCACGGCGAGTTAAATTAATTCTGTATTAAATTCTAGAATTTAATTATTCCTACTAAATGTTCAGGAGTTTCCTTACAAACGTTAGCTCTGGACATAATAAAGACGATATTTCAGTCAACAGAGTCTATAGTCACTGAATAATAAAATCAGGAGTGCTTTAATTATTTTTGAAAATGTTGCCGCATTAATAAATTCGACATTTTCATGCTACAACATTTCTCGGCCATTTAGAAATCGTAAATTAAAAGAGTCATTTCCTAATTGGATGTACAAGCAGCTTTTGATGATGGAATAAATGGAATAAGAATAAAACAAAAAATAGAGATTTCGCAGAATAAGAAATAGTAATTCCTGCAAGCATCAGATAGAAGCTAGGGTAATGGTTTTCATCAATTTTCTCTGGAATTTCAAGAAAGGGAGAAGTAGGTATAGTGGAACAAGCTACAAGAGCTGTACAAATTCCATGATCCCAACATGATAGGAGTGATAGGACACTTTAACCCTTTCTATGGATCACCGCACCGGTCGCGAGTCATAATTGAACATGCCAGACGTGGTTAACTATTCCGTGTTGGTCACGATCGACCTCAAATTTCCACTTTACCCACTACTGAGAGAATTCAATTTGCTCTGTCACGCTTTCCTAGAATATACGCTATTAATTAATTTGTCATGTACGAATTAACTGTTTGTTAAGAAATATGCAATTTACACCGATAGAGGAATCGAATTAGAATCATAGTTCCATCTTCTGTTAGTCATCAATATGCTGCTAAATAATGAAACAATTTGATCCAAATTTCGAGATTAATTATGCTAAGAATTTACAATCATTAAATAATGCCAGTGATGTTCTCAAAATCATTTATGATAATTCGATAATAAGAATGTATACCTATATAAAATAAAAATTAGTCGTGTAATATGAAGGATGTTTGAATTAATTCACACATATTAATTTTCAAATAAATTGTCTCTTCTGACCATTTTTTAAGTAGGATAGATGTTCTCATTTAAGTCGGTGGTGGAATCCGTAAATCGTTTAATTGAGTTGATGAAAACTTGAATTCGAGGTGCAGAGAATCGAACGCAGCAAGGAGGAAAACATAGACGAATGCCTGTTCGGATAGGAATGT